CACACACACACACACACACACACACACACACACACACACACACACACTGGCTCACTCACTCACATACACACACACGGGCACACACACACACACAATCTCGGAGTTGTGTATAGAGCGGCATTCATCCATGACTTCAGGGTCAACCATGATATAGTTCACTTCATTGACCCCCTCCCTGCGTATGTGGCCAGAAGGGATGATCATCTGATGTTGGCCCTCAACCATTCGACCAATGTGCCCTTCAATTTGGACGATTTCATCCCTTACAGGGTAGGGGGTAGAGAGTACAAAATTCACATAGCTCACAAATTGCGACCGTGGTGTTTCAGATGTAGAGCATACGGTCACTTAAGCACATATCCAAATTGTTCTCAAAATCCCAGAAAAAAGAAACCGGGCAACAGGGAGACTCATTCGGGACCCCTTCAAAATTAATCTATGGAAAACGGTGGATGCGGGACATGAGGGTTGGGTCTATGTGGAGAACGCCAAAAAGGGGGAATTATCAAAAGGTTGGACATGGGAACGGGAGGGGGATCCAAATTGGGACACAAACCCCCCCGACTCCTGGGTACCCCCGGAAGTAAATGATACAATTTCAGCATCGGTGATTAAACCAACACAAACACCTCACCCAGCACAACCAACACAACAGGACAGCACACAGGCATCTCCGTCCATAGGAAAGGAAGTCCCTGGATACTCTGATAAACGCAAGGGGCAAATGAGTCATCAACAATGGATACCGGTCAGTCACAAAAAAGGGGGTACACTCCCGGGACCATAACCGGTAGATTATTTGCAACTAAATGGAAAGGGGGAAAAAACACCTCAATCCACGGGGGAAGAATCAGACTTAGAGCCTGGGGAGGTGGAAGAAGTGGTAGAAGAGGGTTCAGATGAGGGTCTGATGCAACAAAAAAAGAAAAAGAAAAAAAAGAAAAAGAAAACAGCTAACTAGTCCAAACAAAGAGTCTGCTCCCCTCGGTGAAAAAGATTCTCTCATGACAGAAGTCCAGTCTGATGCATCCCAGTTTATGCAAAAGACGACTGAGGGAAATGACAGTGCAGGAAGCCAGACGGAGGACCTACAAGTACTGGAGGAAGGAAGTTCAGGGCTAATAGAGAAAGGAACGGAGGCAACAAATTTTGATCTACTTCAAAAGGCTTTCGGTCCAGAACCAATGGATGTGGACTCCTCCCAAGGTGATTTTGAAATGGAAGATGCTCCCTCCCAAACTGAGCCAGATATTGTCGAGGATCAAAGGATAAAACAGCTAGCGGAATGGGTGTTGAAAAATTTGAAAATGAGATTTGGGGAAACCACTGTTGAATTTTGGGACAGTTCATATGTTCAGTTGGTAAATTTGTTAGCCAGCAGTCACAGTTTGAGAGTAGCATTACAGCAGGGACTTCCTGAAGCGGCAATATGGTCTACGGTAAGTACACGTATTCTGAATATTGTGATGGGTCTGTTTCACCCGCCCTCACCTCCACAGAACGGAAATACCAGGGGCCAGGTATGTACAACATTGGTGGAGACAGGGAAAGGTTTTGTGGGCGATACTTCCATACTACACAACAACGAATTCGCTAAAGGAGAAAACGCCCATAAGTCCGGAGGAACCTCTTTTGAAGGGGAAGGGGGGGTGAGGGTAGAGGAGATAGAAGTGGTCTCTTCTCAGGAGGAGCAGATAACGAAAGAGGAAACTTTATCAACGTCCCTTACCCAGGAAGAACAAATGAGTGGAAAAAAAACACAAGATTTGGGTAAGAGACAAAAACTAAGGCATGTTCTGGAAAAAGGTCAAGCCATCTGGCCACAGGCTTCTCGAGGGAACTTGGTAATCCCGGTCAAAAAAAAAGGTGGGAAATAGGAAATTGGCCTCTCTCCTATAGGCCAGGATCAATATGGGGGGGTCACATTAAGAGGCTGGACCACATATGTGGATTACCAGAACTCTAATGACAGGACCTTCAAGAGGGATCTACACGATTTTCTGTCCAAACATTTCGACCCAGGCCCTCAGGCGACTCTCACAGAAACCGGGGACCAGGCTAAGATGGCAAAACGTAATACTTTTGTAAGATTTGAGGATAACAAAGAAGCAGGTCTTAGATGGTTCTCAATACAGCATTGTTGGATCTCCAACACTTGAAAATCAAGGCAAACGCGGTATGGTCAATAGGGGAGGTCTCAACTTTTCTTTGTTCTATCTTACGATGTGGGTTACTGACAACCTCTTCTTGTTTGGAGGGGGGTAACTGGATGAGACTATAGGTGATTAGAAGATAGGGACCTGAGGGACAATAGGATGGAAGCACTACAGGCTTTTTATGGTAAAAATCTGGGATGGTTGCGGGCTACTCAAAATACAGACCTGGACCTAAGGTCCCTCAATGTTAATGGCCTTGCCAC